GTCAGGAGTCTGAGAACTACACTTCCCAGCCTCCCTTGCAGCTAGGTGTGGCCAGGAGCCTCACTCCTACACAAGGCAACATAAGGGAAAATGATGCACACTTCCCAAGGAACGTCTTGCCCTCCTCACTGGCTGAATATCGACATTCACTCGGACAAGAGCATCCAGGGATAAAAGTAACGGTATAGACGCAGCCTGGGTCTTCGACACGGAGAGACCGGCACACTCATCCTGGACTTTCTGGGCTCGTTAGAAAGAAACTCCTACCTCGTATCTTGGTTTCAAGTGCTACTCTACTCATCTTATGGGGCCCCCTGCCAGTTATTAAGTGATCGCCCCTCAGCTCTCAGCCTACCCCGTCCCCTCTCCCTCACGACGCGGGGACTCTGAGAACCCCCTTCCCACTCTGCTGTGACGCTGTGCATCACGCGGTGCCAGAACAGGGTCCGCGCCAGCTGGATCCAACTGACGGTGTTTCCGACGCTCACGGGGCCTGCGACGTGACGCCCCACAGACACCAGCCCCCTCCGCCCGGTGCCCCTCCCTCAAAGATCTGAGCAGGCCCTCAGGGCACCACCCGTAAGCTCAGAGACCCCGGCACCCGCCAGCCAGCGTCTGAAGGTCTGAACTTCGGCTCTCCGCTTCTAGACGTGGCGGCTGCATCCTGCGGTCACTACCCCCACGCTGCCTGAAGGAGTTCTCCCTTCACCCCTGCAGTCACCCACTTGGAAACCGCATTCCCGGTTGGCCATTCTCTGTATTAAATTCTCCGTTCAAATCACTCGTGTGGTCTCCCGCTCCTCTTTGGACCCTCATGGATACGGGCCCCAAAGGAGTGTCGTGAAGGCTGCCAGTGACCCAACGCCTCTTCCATCTGTCTCCTCAGAACAGGTCCAAGGATCCCGAGCAGCCCCAGGGCAAAGTCCAAGCTCCTGAAGGTGCCCCCGCTACTCCCTGGATCCCGGGAATATACTCAGGGATGTGGCAAAGGGCCATTCAGGCCGCAGAGGGAATTAAGGTTACTAATCAGCGGCCTGTTAAGTGACTTTTTTTTTTTTCACGTTTTATTTTTGAGAGAGAGAGAGAGCGAGCGTGAGTCGGGAAGAGGCAGAGAGAGAGAGAGACGGAGGGTCCGAAGCAGGCTCCGCGCTGACAGCACAGAGCTCCGCGCGGGGCTAGAATTCACGAACCGCGAGATCGCGACCTGAGCCAAAGTCAGTTGCTCAACCGACTGAGCCACCCGGGCGCCCCACCCCCTTAAGTGACTTTTAAGCAAGGGAGGGGCGGAAGCAAATGTCTTTGGAAAAGACGAAAAGCCCTCTGACCTCCGGAGAGACCGCACGTCTGTTTTTGAGCCCTTAGTCTGTATCGTGCGTTACTCTCAGATCCGTATGTGAACAGACCCCTCTTTAGGCACAAGCCCTGGGGGGCAGGCGCCACCGGGAGCTGATGGGAATTATGGCTCCTCCCAGAAACAGCGGGGAGGCTGGGGGGGGGGGGGAACCTACCTGGCCTTTGGAGGGCGTGAGGGCTTCGTCCTCCTCCTCCCCTTCACTGCCCAGGACCCGGGCCGCCTTCCGCCCTGGCCTCTTCACTGGAGAATCGTTCTCAGGCACCTCTCCGTTCCATTCCTTCAGCGCCACCCTGGAGGGTGGAAAAATGGAGGCGTTCCAGCAGGCAGAGAGGGGGTATACTGCCCTGAACGTTCCAGCGCCTTCCCTAAGTTTCATTCCGTCCCTGTCCCTTCAAGCATTTAACGGGCTTCTTCTGGAGGCCTCCTTCCCTACACTCTTCATCGTCCGTCCATCGACCACATCCTACGTGCCCACCTCCCGTGATGAGCGATGCTGGGGAGCGGACGGGAGTCCCTGCTGAGAGCAGAGAAGGCCTCCCTTCTTCAGTCACACAAGCCCCTGGGATGTGGCGAAGGCCATGGCCTCTCGGCTACAGACTATACTTCCCAGCCTCCCCTGCAGCTAGGCGCGGCCCTGTGACGGGTCCTGACCAACAGGATGTAAGGGGTAGGACTGATGCACACAACCCGCTCCCGACTGCTCGTCCCCATGTTGTCTTACTGCTGGGACTCTCGGACTTGCCAACCGCCTTAACAACCCTGAGGTCCTGGATCCGGCCATGACTGAAGGCAGACCTACCTTTGGACTTCCCAGTTATCGGAGCCAAAAAAAATTCCCTTTAGGGCTCCAAGACATTCTGAGCGGGGCTCAAAACACTTAGAGCCAAGAGGGTCCTGATTGAGAGGAACAAATTCACCACGTCCTAGCCCCGTTACGTACTTTGGAGGTGGCTCTGTCTCTCTGCTGGAGGTCTCTTTCTCCGGCTTTTTCGCTTTGCCCTCCTTCTTGGGATGGAAAAATGACCTAGTGGAACACAGGAGGAGGCGAAAACGGGAATGAATACAGCACAAATGGGTCCTTGGATCGGTGCCCCGTTGTATCGCTTCCGACGCGGACTGCCATCCCAGCGCTCGACAACTCCCTTCGATAAGGAAAGTGACGCTCAGCCGGGGCGGGGGGGGGGGGGGGGGGCAGGGGCGGGGCGACGCTCTGCTTATTTTTCCCATCCTGACACCCGACAGCCATGACGCATCCCAATTTTCCTTCAACAAGTACCAGCTAAGCACCTCCTAGGCGCCGGGGACCTGGCCGGGCCCCGGGGATTCGGCGGAGACCCAGACACAAGGCCCCCACCCCCCGAGGGGTCGACACCCAGTAAAAGAGGCGATATTAAGTCGCTAAATATAAAATGTCAGGAGGCGGGAAGTGCTCTTATGAAGACAAACAAGGCAAGGCGTCCCCTCTCCACTTGAGACTGGCTCGCCCGAGTGGCTGGCTTCCGGAGACCGGAGTCCTGAGCAGGGATGGTGGGAACCCATTGGTGCAGGCACCTCGCCCACGCTCTGCCGACCGGGTGAGGGAGGCCAGTGTGACTGGGGATGTCCCGTGCCCCCTCCTACAGGGTGAAGCCAGGCTGCTGCACTTCACTGCCCGTGACCCCAGTGACAACAACATCGGACAAATTTGGGGACCGTCTGCAGGCATCCTGACAAAGTCGGAGAAACCGTCCCCCAGAGTGACACCAAAGGGAACGGGGGAGGCATGACAACGAAAGGGACTATGGGACTCCGAAGCGCAGCCTGGAACAGAAAAAAGCGTTAAGGGATAAACCGTTGAAATCCGAACATGGCGCGGAGCGTAGTCAACAGTAACGTCCCAGAACCGGCTCCTTCCTGTGGCCAACGGACCAGGCACACGAGGCGTCAACGGTGGAAACCCGGGGCGCCGTGGGCAGGAACCATTCTAGAAGCGCCTGGGTGGCTCCGTCGGTTAAGCGTCCGACTTCGGCTCAGGTCATGATCTCGCGGCTCGTGAGTTCGAGGCCCGCGCCCGGCCCTCTGCTGACAGCGCGGAGCCTGGTGCCTGCTTCGGATGCTGTGTCTCCCTCTCTCTCTGCCCCACCCCGGCTTGTGTTCTCGTTCTCTCTCTCTCTCTCTCTCTCTCTCGCAAAGTAAAACAAATAAACACTTAAAAAATAAATAAATAAAAATAAAACCCGTTCCAGAATGGTTGACTTTAAAGCAGCCAGTCAGTCAGCCGATCCAGCCAAGAAAGCCATCAGACACGCTGTCCGCCCAGGACAGGCTACGGCCAGATTTGTCGCCATGTGAGAAGAAGGGAGCCTGTGATCTGTGACCTCCCAGGTCTCCGGGCTGGGGGTCCAGGACTGGGTCAGCCCAGAATCCATCCACTCCTTTTGGGAGGGGCCCCTCCACACTCTCTCCGACTGGGACAGCCCCCTCAGAGTCCCAAGTGAGAGAGTCGGGGCTGCTGGGTCCAACCGAGCGGTTTCAACTCCACAAGCCGAGGCCTTCCCCTTCTTCCTTCCCCGAGGCCGGCCTGCATCAGGACAGGGTTTCCCAACCTGGGCGCTACTGATGTTTCAGGCCGCCCGTTCTTGGTGGCGGGGGCTGCCCTGTGCACTGTCGTCCAGCAGCGTGCCTGGCCCTTCTCCAGCAGATGCTGATGAGAAGCGCCCCCTCTCTTCCCCCTAGTTACGACGCTGCCGGCTGTTCCCTGGGGGGGGCCGAACCACCGACTGCAAAGCACCGGGTCAGCACTTCCGAACCCCGTGGCTCAAAACTCTCGGTCGACACACTCACTGTCCTACGCATCGCGCTCCCCGTGTTACCTTCTGACTCTTGGACATTCCAATTTGAAGAGTGACTTGTGTTCTTCCAGGAAAAGGCACAGAAAGAGAGAGACAAGAGCAGAGACCTTTAGAGAGTGTAGGACAGGGCGGGGTGGGGGAGTCGTTTCCTTACATGATACTCCGCTGCATGGTGACGTCCGAATTCTCTCTCCCCCCTCTCCTCCTCCTCTTGTCCAGCCAGATGTTCCTGAAACAGAAATCCCAACAGTTGGTGACAATACGGGTCGTGCAGAGACCGAAACACACGGCCCTCCTTCTTCCAGAGAGAAAAAAAAACCCCACAAAGTCAGAAACATGAGTTCCTCCACCGAGATGAAACTCCCGTTTTTATGGACCGAAATGACTGGCTGGTGGGATTTATTAGCGAAGATAAAGTTCCGGAGGCACCTGGGGGGCTCAGTCGGTTACGCATCTGACTCTTGATTTGGGCTCAGGTCATGATCTCCCGGTCGTGGGATCGAGCCCCGAGTTGGGCTCCGTGCGGAGTGTGGAGCCTGCTTAAGATGCTCCGTCTCCTTCTCCCTCTGCCCCTCCCCTGCTCGCACTCTCTTTCTCTCTCAAAACAAAAAAGAAAAAGCTCCAAGTCAGAACAAGATAAGAAGGCTCCGCGACGGAACAGAGCTTTCTTCTTATCTAAGATGAACACATACTTAAGATCTACAGTTTGTTGTTGTTTTTATTTCAGTTTCCTTTGGGTCTTTTTTTTGCAGGGGAGTTATGTTTTAAAATCAGGGGAAAAAAACTGTTTTGAAGTGATTATCTAATATCCGAAACGGCCCTGAAACGTGGAAGTCCATTAAATTATATCCACTGGCGTATATAAACCAGCCACTGAGCAGTTGCTAAGGTATACTGCTCACAGAAACCAGGAGCAAAATATCAGGCAGAGAATACCGATCTCAGAAAGTTCTGTACTGGGGCGCCTGGGGGGGCTCAGTCGTTTGAGCCTCTGACTCCTGATCTCAGCTCGGGTCTTGATCTCGGGGTCCTGAGCTCAAGCCCCGTGTTGGGCGTGGAGCCTCCCAACAACAACAACAACAACAACAAAAACCCACAAAAACAAAAAAGAGAAGAAAAGAAAGGAAGTTGTGTACTGTACTATTCCATTTACACAACATTCTCCAAATGACAAAACTCAGGATGGAGAAGAGATCAGGGGTTTGTCGGAGCTTAGGGACAAAAGGTGGGGAGCGGCTACAAGGGGCAGCACAGTGAGTGCCTTTGTGGAGCTTTTCCACACCCAGACCGTGGTTGTGGTTACACAGGTTTACACATGGGTTGAAAATGCACGCGTGCGCGCGCGCACACACCCCCCCTGGACAAACTCTGTGGTCTAGTTCCCGGTACCATCCCCAAACTTCCTGGTTTTGATATTGGACTCTGGGTATATGTCACCCCTGGGGGAAGACAGGGGTACTGGTTTTACAACTTCCTGTAAGTCTATAGAAATCTTTCAATTAAAAAAAAAAAAGCAGAATCTACGTGCCAATGTAAAAAGAAGTTCTAGGTGTATATATATATATATATATATATACTTTTAATTTTTTTTGTTTTATTTACTTAAGAGAGAGAGAGCATGAACAAGGGACGGGCAGAGAGAGGGACAGAGAGAATGCCAAGCAGGCTCTGTGCTGTCAGCGTGGAGCCGGATGTGGGGCTCGAACGCGTGAATTTTGAGATCATGACCTGAGCCAAGACCAAGAAGTTGGTCGCTCCACCGACTGAGCCACCCAGACGCCCCAGTATACGTATACATATTTTTAAATGTTTGTTTCTTTGTTTATTTTGAGGTGGGGGAGGGGCAGAGAAAGAAGGACAGAATTTCCAGCAGGCTCCACACGGTCAGTGCAGAGCCTGACGCGGGACTCAACCCCACAAGCCGTGAGATCGTGACCTGAGTCACATGATCGAGTCCCTAGGAATACTTAAGTCACACTTGAAACAATAATAATAAACAAGAAAGAGGCAGAACGGTGTACGTAATATGCTCCTAATTTTGTAAAACAGGAGAAAATACGATCCTGTTTATTCTTTCATATTGCTTTTATTTGCCAGATAGAAACTACGGAAGGATAATCAAGAAGCCAACAGGTGTGGCTGGGGGCACCCAAGGCGGCTGGGAGGAAGGGTGGGAACCAGACCTGTCATACCTCTGTCCCGGTTTCATGTGAAACCCTGCGTATCTATTACCTGTTCAATTTCTAGGCCCCATGTAATTATTCAAATGTCATTGTCCAGGGGCGCCTGGGCGGCTCAGTCGGTTCCGTGGCCAACTTTGACACAGGTCACGATCTCACGGTTCATCAGTTCGAGCCCCGCGTCGGGCTCTGTGCTGACAGCTCGGAGCCTGGAGCCTGCTTCGGATTCTGTGTCTCCCCATCTCTCTCTCTGCCCCTGCCCCGCTCACACTCTCAAAATTAAACATTGACATATTAAAAAAAAAAAAAAAAGAAAAAATTGTACTTACCCAGCCTCCCACTCCCTCTGGGAAATGTCCTCCCTGCCCCCCCAGCAGCCAGGCGCCCTACCTAGCTCTGAGCACTGGATGAAAGTGATTTTACAAATGAGGCGAGAGAAGCAGAGAGGTCGAGAAATTTGCCCAAAGTCACACAGCCTGAAGGGTTGCAAAGCCAGGACCCGAAGACAGGTATCTGGCTCCGAAGTCCGTGTCCTTAACTGCTACCTATTCTTTTTTTTTTTTCCTTAATTTTTTGAACGTTTATTTATTTTTGAGAGACAGTGCGCAAGCAGGGGAGGGGCAGAGAGAGAGGGAGACACAGAATCCGAAGCAGGCTCCAGGCTGTTAGCACAGGCCCCCCGAAACCGTGCCGTGTGTTGAGCGCAGTGATCGTCACGTAATTCGACACGTTTCAAAACCGGCAGAACCATACGCCAAAAAGAGGAAGTTGACTCTACGCAATTTTTTTAATATTAAGGAAAACAAAACCACCACCAACTCTTGGAGTTACCAACGACTCAACCTCTTTCTCTCACGCCCAAAACTCATCAACCCATAAATCCCACTGGCGCCGTCTCCAAAAGATCCCCCACAGCCAATCCCACTGCCACAAATGCTGTCCTAACCCCTCCCTCTTATCCTTCCCAGTGTTTAGCACAACCGGACCTTACAGATTAGAATTTGCCCCACTCTCTAGAGCAGTGCTTCTAACACAATTTTCTGCACGATAGAAACGTTCTGTACCCACGTAGTCCAAAAAGCTCACTCTATCCACGTGGGGCTTCAAGCATTTGAAACGCGGCTAGTGGGGCTGAGGAGTTTCTCGTTTGTTTCTAATTTAAATTTAAAAATGTACATGTGGCAGATGCCTGGTGGGGGGGTGGGGGGCTCAGTCGGTTAAGCATCAGACCCTTGGTTTTGGCTCAGGTCATGATCTCACAGCTGGTGGGTTCGAGACCCCGTGTAGGGCTCTGTGCTGACAGTACAGAATCTGCTTGGGATTCTCTCTCTCCCTTTCTCGCAGCCCCTCCCCCGATCACTTTCTTGCACACCCTCTCTCAAAACAAGTAAATAGATACAATATTTATATGTGGCTAGTTGCTACTCTATTCAGCAGTGCAGAGCTAAAATGCTGAGTTCCAAAAAGGTAAGGATTTTGTCTACTTTGTTCAGATTATGGCCACGGGACCTAAACCGGTGCCTGGTCCTGAATGCATTGGCCCACACATATGCCTTTATTTAAAAAAATCAGGGTAACAAAAAACACCATTACTGAAGAATTACTAAGCAGGATCTTTCGATCTTTCAAAAACCTGGAAGCCACAGGGCAAGGAGTGAAATATAAAAGGGTCTTTAAACAGTTGAGTCTTTCTCTTCTCGTTAATGAAAGCTCACATCTCCTGACCTCTCTGCTCCCCTGACCACCCCCCCCTTCCACCCACGGAAAATATTTTACACCGTTCCCCTAAATCCGCTACTCTCTCTCATCCTCTGAGGCTTAGAACAGCTCAACGTCCCCCAAAGACGACTGGGGAAGCTGAGACAGGAGAAGGAAAGTGACTTTTTGCTCAGGGCCACATAGCCAGCCAACGATGGATACCAGGAATGGAGAGTGCCAGCTCCACGAACCGCCTGGGATTATGTTTACAATACCCCAGCCCACTGAATCAGAAGTTCTGGGAACAGAAGACGGGGACGGGGGGGGGGGGGGGGGAGAGATCTGCAAGCCTAGCAAACTCCCAGAGAATCCTAAGACAAAAGGATATTAAGGAAGTCTCACTTAGACTCCACTGGCTTTTCCTTCATGCCTCCCTCTGGCTAACTAACAGGTGAGAGATTCAAACGGGCTGAAATGGGGACCGGGGGGGGGGGGGGCCAAGAAGTGATGTCCTTGATCCCATTCCCTACCGTCTCTCCTCAATGGTTCCCCGCAGCTTTCAGATGCCAGCTCCCCTTTCCAAAGGCTCATCTCTACCAGTCACGTGAGCCCCTGCCTCGCCTTACCCTTCAAGCCTCCCCCTCACCTAAGGTCATCAACATCCTTCTCTCTTGGCTCCCCAGGCTCCTCTGACCCTCCCTCCACCCCTTCGGGCAACAATAAACCCAATACACCGAGACATTTGATTTACTCTCTCCAGGGCCCCCTCCCTTCCCTGGCCTCGGCCAACCCCACCTCAGCTCCGCTCCCTCATCAGGCATCCACAAAGCCAGACCTCTCCTTACACAGAAGGTTCCCGACCCTTCGTTTGCCCTTTGCCTAGACCTGGACCCTTCCACTAATCTCTCTCTCTGCCCCACCTCCGTCCAGCGGGATTCCCTCCCCACTTAAAGCCGACCCCACCTCTCCTGGAACCTTTTCCCTGACCCCGCCCACTAACAAACTTTTCCCCACCCCCTTCCAGGTGGGCCCGCCTCCCCGGCCATTCAGTCTCCATGGCCCCGCCCATCAAGCATTTCCGCCCCCCCGCCCCTCCCCTCGAGCGTCTACGGCCACGCCCCCCCGCGGAGGCACCGCCCCTCCAGGCCTCTCCTCAAACCCCGTCCGGTCCTGCGGACTCCGGCCCTCGTCTACCCTCTTACCAGGCCCTCTCTCTCCCGCGGACGCCCCCCGCCCCCTCAAGCGACCCGCTGCGGGCGCTCTCCCTTCCCTGCCACGCTCTGGGCCCCCTGAGCATCTCCCACGCCGGCTCCTCTGCAGCCGACCGACCCCGCGGAGCCGTGGGCCCCGAGCGTACGGCACGCGCTACGCCCCCCAGTCTCCCAGCCCCGCGTCGGCAGCCCCACTTGCCTCGCGCCGGCCCCGCGCGCCGCTGTCTCGCGCGTCACACCCGGAACCGCTCGGCGCTCGACTGCAGTCCTCAATTGGCGCCACGGAATTCGCGCGCAGACTTGGGCGGGCGGGGGCGGGGCCGCGCCGGGGGGGCGGGGCCCGGGCGTCGTCCCCTCCGCCGCTGCCGCCCGGGGGACGCTGGGAGTTGTAGTCTCCCCGACCGGAGGCTACTAGGAAAAGGCGTGAAGTGGGGTGAGCCCTCCCGCAGAGCACGACGGGAAACGGCCCGCGCTTTCCCTCGCTCGGGGTGGGCGGGTGTAGCTGTGGGTCCGAGAAGTGACTGACGGGGAAAGGAGATTCAGGGCAAGCCGCTGCGCGTGGCACGGCGGGAAGAGAGGCGGGAGACCGCGCGGGGCATCCCGGGAGCAAGGGCCGGGCCTGGCCCCGGCGCGGAGCATTGTGGGAGGTGGACGCCGCTCCGGGGCGGGTAGGTGAGTGGGGAGGGGCTGGAAGGGTGCACATCTGGGGGAGGGGAGAGGCACAGCTGGGTGGGACAGCGGAGATGGGAGGGCCCGCGGCAGGAGGGGCTGGGAGGGCTTGGGGAGACAGAGGCGGGCTGGGAGGGGCTGCACCCGGTGGGGAGGCGCAGCTGGACGTGGGGGAGCATCTGGGGTGATGAAGCCCATCTGAAGACCAGGGGCCATGTCTAGGACCAGGATGCACATCTGGGGAGTAGGATAGCTGCGAATGGGAGGAGGGAACCACAGCTGGACTTGGGGGAGCGTCTGGGCAGGAAGGACCACAGACAAATATCGGTGACACTTGTGAGAATTGGCCACAAGTGAATGGGGCACACACCTGTGGGCGCAAAGTACGTACTGGATGTGGAGAGGACATCTGGATATGGGAGCATCTCGGAGGCAGGGGCTACAGCTGGATGTGGCGACCCATGGGGTCACCTCTGGGAGAGGGGCAGCGGCTGCATATCGGAGATACATCCCGGGAGGAGGGAGCCACAGGTGCGTGAAGAATATGACCGGGGTTGCGGGGTCCGTGACTGGACGTCGGAGCACATCTGGAGATGGAACGTCTTTAGAAGAGGGCACAGATGGATGTGGGTTAGGGCCAAGAGGAGACACAAGGGGGCGTTTCATAAGAATGGGGGCGCTAGAGGTGGCGGCCAAGTGGAGGAGAGACATCAGGAGGGGGAGGAGGTCTTAACTGGAAGGAGGGAACACATTTGAGGAGGTGTCCACCACGGAACTTAAGAGTCCCATTTTGGGAGAGGGACCCCAGCTGTACCCAGGGGCACATCTACAGAGGAAGGGGCCAGAGCTGAAATCAGGGACCAGGATGACCGGCTCCAGTTGTCCCAAGGAATAATGCAGGGATGGGAGAAAGCCGAAGGTGGAGCGTAGATTCATATATAAGTATTAATGGGGGTGCATCCCGCCGTGGGCCCCACCTGGAAAGAGGCACCAGCACCAAAGAGGCGGGCGGAAAACCGAGGAGGTGGGGTACCCTGATGGGGACGACTCTGATATCCACGTGTCCCCTCTTCCCCTCAGGCGCCCCAGGATGGAGTCCCCACCCAGCACGGCAGGCCAGGAGGAGCAGGAGCTGCGGGAGCGGGCCTTCTTCTCGTGGGCCGAGTTCAGCCGCTTCTTCGACGCGTGGTGCCAGCAGCGGCTGGCACTCTTCTTCGTCAAGAGCTCCATGCACCTGGCGCGCTGCCGCTGGGCCAGCGCGCCCCCGCTCTACACGCTCATCGACGTGCTCAAGTACAGCTACGTGCGGCTCGTGTGCAAGGACGTGCGCGCCCCCAGCCGGCCCACCGTGGGGTGCGTGAGCTGAGCTGCCCCTTGCTGGGTGCTGGGGGGCGGGGGGCGGGGAGCGCGGGGGGGGGGGGGGGCCGGGGGGGAGGGCGGAGGGGAAGCAACGGGAAGGAGTAGGCAGTGAGCCCCCCGCGGAGAGAGACCCGGAGGGAGACATGCCCGCTAAAACTGCTAAATGCATACACCTTGCAGAGAGGCCGAGAGTAAGGGAGAAAGGGAGACAGCCAGTCCGCTGGCCGGACAAAGGCGCACACACAGTGAGTGACAGGGTGGGCTCCAATTACAGACTTTTTTTTTTTTTTTAACCTTTATTTATTTTTGAGAGACAGAGCACAGCAGGGGTGGGGCGGAGAGAGAGGGAGACACGGAATACAAAGCAGGCTCCAGGCGGTGAGCCATCAGCACAGAGCCCCATGCAGGGCTTGAACTCACTGACTGCCAGACCGAGACCTGAGCCGAAGTTGGCCATTTAACTGACTGAACCACCCAGGCGCCCCAAGTTAAAGACTTACATTTTTTTTAACGTATTTATTTTTGAGGGGTAGAGAGAGTGTGTGTGTGCAAGCAGGGGAGGGGCAGAGAGAGAGGGAGACACAGAATCCAAAGCAGGCCCCAGGCTCCGAGCTGTCAGTGCAGAGCCCCAAGCGGGGCTCAAATTCACGAACCGTGAGATCATGACCCAAGCCAAAGTCAGAAAACTGGGTGAGAGCCAGGTTTGGGACACACAGAAAGAGACCAGAGCCAGACTGAAATGCAGAGAAAGCCACAGGACAAAGAGAAAAAGATTCATCCACGCTTTCCGTAAATACGGGGCCAGGTCCCACACAGGGGCTAGCGATACCTCACTGGGGAGAGCAGGGGTTGAGCGGGACAGACACATCCCCTCCCCTCGTGGAACTTTCAGGCAAGACAGGGAGACTGACACATTATATGAACAAGCTCACAGTTTCCTATAAACATAATGTCACAAGGGGCAAGCGAAACACCCAAAAGAGACCCGGGAGACTCACCCGGGTGGCCAAGGGTGTTTTAATCAACCCCACTTCTAAATCAGAGCATTCCCCATAAAATGTTTGGTTTCCGGCTTTTCTGGAAACACAGGAAGAGGCTGAGCCCACCTTCCTGTGAGGCAGATGGCCACTCCAGTTAGACTGGGTGATGGCGTTCAGGTTTGCCCCAGACCCCACCGCTCTCCATTGCCTCATACGTGGCCCCTGCCGCTTGTGTGTTTCGCCCGCCTGGTCCCTGTGGGTGCATGAGTTTGAGACCCTTGGCTGGAGAGCCATGGGCAAGGACGGGGCACTTAAAGACAGGCTCCGTATTACAGGGCTGTTGTGAGGTTACCGTGAGACCAATGGGGGAAGGCACTTACCCAGTACCTGGAACATGGGCGGCCCGGTAAACGACAGCTATTCTAGAAGTCAAAGAGCACAGCCTCAAGCCAGCAGCCTAGCCTCCGACCCTCCAGGCCTGCTGCAGTTAGCCAGCGACACCGAGCAAGTGACGTCACCCTTCTGGGTCTCAGTCTCCTGCCTTGGAAAGTGGAGGAAGTCGTGGCATCGATCTCCTAGGTTTTGTGAGGATTAAATGAGCTAATACAGGCACGTCGCTCAAAAGACGACGTGAGCACCTTCTGACAGCGATTCTGACCGTAGTTATTTAAACATTTATTGGGAGTTTACTGTTCTCGGTAGTTTACTCACTGCCTACGTAGAAGCAGAGACCCAGAAGCAGAGCAGCGTCAAACACCCATCATCACAGAGAACTCTAGAACACCAGAGTTTGCGAGTGGCTTGGGCCCAATCCTGGAATCTCTCTTCGTTAACAGAACCCGATTCCAAGTAACAAACACTTATTGAGCACCAACTGAGTGCACGCTCTTTGCTGGGCACTTTGCTCAGCGCTTGAGCAGCTGAGTACCTAATGGAGGAGACAAAGACCCCTCCCCCCCAAAATGTTATTTTTAAGGGAAATGGGGGCAGTTGTGAGAGGGAAGAAGTTGAAGGGGGGAGGGGGGGATAAAAGAGGAGTGGGCAGCTCCATCCGAGAGCTTATGGGGTGCTCCTGGAAGCCTTCCTGGAAGAGGTGACCAGTAAATGAAAACTCGAAGGGCTCTCTCTGTTTATACACTTATGGATGTATGTATGTGACCTCAACACGCAGCGCTTGCTGTGCACAGGCACTGTCCCCAGTGCTCTGCAAATATCACAGGGAGCCAGGGGACAGGAGGGGCAGGGCTGGGGATTGACAGGCTGGTGGTGGCTTTGGGGAGACAGCAGGATGGTCCCGGGATGGGGAGCCCAGGAGGAAGGGGGGATTAGCAAGCCAGTTCTGGGGATGATGACTGGGGGCCCATGGTTTCTGAGACCCTCTCTTCCCCCAACTGCTCAGGCAGCACCTGTCCGGTGTCACAACCCAGGAGCAGCCCATAGGCCAGGGTGCTATAGGGGGTGTCTGGTGTGTGACGGGGCAGCAGATGCGGGGGGGAATGGTGTCAGGGTCTTGCCCGGCGGGGCTGAGTCCAGGGGCCAGGACTCATCTTGGGGGAGCCCTGGGAGGGCTGTGAGCAGGGGCAGCTCTGGGTTTAGGATGATCCCTCCGGGGGCCACGGGGGGGGGGGGGGGGGGGGGGGGGACGGACCGGAAGAGAGAGACGGGAGGCCAGGGAGGAGGCTGGGACTGAGGGTCCCAAGAACACACATCAGGACTTTGTCTCCTTGGCTATTCTGCCCCCCGTTCCCAGAGGATGGTCAGAGAAGTCTTCCTGGAGGAGGGGACACTGAGTCTGAGCCGTGAAGGATGCGTAGGAGGTAACTAGGTGCAAAGGAGGACGAAGAAGGAAAGAACCGAGTAGACCGGTGGCAGTGGGGATGGGGGAAAGTGGACGGTTGGACGAGGTTAGAAGGCCCCATAGGCAGGACTTGGTACTGGGTGGCTTGATGTAACGAGCAGACTGCCTGGGTACTGGGGGGTTCGTACAACAGGATTCCATCATTCCACGTCATTTATTTACAGAGCGCCTCCCAGCATTCTGGCATTCTGGGTGCTGGGAAGATAGCGGTTTGCAAAACAAAGATTCCTGCCCCCCTGGAGTTCACGTTCAGAGCTGGGGGGCATTATTCCCCCCCCCCC